TTTTTTTTTTTTTTTTTTTTTTTGTCGTACGCGGGCCTCTCACCGTTGTGGCCTATCCCGTTGGCTCACGGGCCCAGCCGCTCTGCAGCACGTGGGATCCCCCTGGACTGGGGCACGAACCCGTGTCCTCTGCTTTGGCAGGCGGACTCTCAACCACTGCGCCACCAGGGAAGCCCCCCTATAGTTTCTTTTTAACAAATCTAATGTTTGTATCTCCTTTCAATCAAAATCCTTGGTCCTCAGCGGCAGCAACATAATTACTCATGTATTATCCCACAATACACAAACAGAAATCCCAGGATAACTACACTTATCATCAAAAATATGATTCCTGAACCCACAGTATCTTTGCTCTGTAGTTCTTTTTCTCCTTAGGCTAGATTCCCCCTGGCTAAGGAATTAGCACGTGAGGTCTTTTCTCACCATGCGGCACACAGGTTCATTTACTTCAACTTACTTTTGTGTTTTAGGATAGTTAATAAAAATAATTTTGTTTTATTTTTGTGTAACTTATTTTCATCATTCTAAAGATGATCTATATAGATCAAGGTGTTTTTCTAGAAATCTAGCTTCTCTCCCTGTCTCTTCCACTTCATCTTCTTTCTCCATAGGTAACCTTTCGAAAACTAAATACGCTATCCTTTTTATCTTGAAATACAAGTGGTAGCATCCCGTGTATACTTTTCTCCACCTCACATTTCCCACTTAACGAACCCTGGCCTCTGTCCACAGCAGTACATGGAGACCTTCCTCATTCCTTTGCCAGGGACATCCCACTCCGTTGTGTGGGTGTAGTCTTGTTTCTTTCAGAGAACTGTACCTTTTAGGATTTCTCTGAACTTCCTGTTCTGGTGTCTTCTAGGAATTACATTTTCTGGATGGGTATAGAAAGGAGGTGGGGGGAGGGGACAGTGCCCTGGCTGCTTCTAGAAGCAGCACCTGGTTGTGAGCACTACTCCTGTTTCTTCTTAGTTCTCATCCTGGATGGAGGGATGTGGTGACTTTCTTCTGTACCGAGTGGGTGGGGCTTCTCTTTCTTCCGAGTCACACAATGTCCCTGGTTTCTGTCATTTCACATAGACTCCTTTTGGCTCCCAGGTAGAAGTTCTTCCAGGGTTCGCCAACACAGTATTTTCAGTCTTAAGTTTTTGATGGTGGCATCTGTTTTGTGCGCCCTCATGTTTATGTTCGTAAGGTTTCAGGACGGGGGTGTATCAGAGATTGTGCTTCACGTGCCATTTAAAAACAAACTGCCATATGTAAAAAGTAAATACAACAAAAATTGTAAAAACAGTCTTTTCTCTCCTAACCAACACTGAATTATTTGTGTTGCAGGGAAAAGGACTTGGAAGCCAAATTCATTATTCAAATGGAGAAAAGCAAAACAACAATCACAAACTTAAAGGCAAGTAGCGGCCTGGGCTGGCTCCAGTTCTGTGAGTTGTGTGTTTGTTTCCGTGTCGAACGGCTTGTGGGTAAATACAACAACATCTGTTTCCACAGCCCTCCTTTCTCTGTTCAGTTCACCACGTCAGCTTGTGCTTGGCTTGGGCTTGGTCACAAAGCAAAAGGGTTGATGCTTTGTCTCCTGTCCCGTCCCTGGTTTCGCTGACCTGGGAGCCGGGCCTGAGCCGCAGCTCTGGGAGGTGACCTCATGGGTTTAGCCCCGACCCAGGCATTTCTATTCTCTATCCTGTGGTGGATCCTTAGCCTGGCAATTGGCTCACTGTGAATTATTAAATAAGCTTTGGCCCTAGATTTGTTTTCATTTTTAATGAAAATAACTTTGTAAACTTTGCAAGAGAAGCTGGTATTATTATTCAAAACTCAGAGGATGAAAAATTTTAAAAACTGAAATTTTTTTCTGGAAAAAAGAAAATTGAAAAAAAATCCCAGAATTTTCTAAGATGGCGAGTTCTTTTTGTACTTAAAGTATCCTGTTTTTTTTTCTTTGGTTAGTGAATTTGTTAAGGACCTTGAATACGTTTCACTTAGGGGAAAAATAAGTGTGTGAAATCAATAATAAAGAAATCATGTGCCTTATGTACCCAACCCCATCCTCCTCCGATAGTTGTCATTAGCTCACAGGTTTGGGTTTCAGAGGCCTGGTGCCCCACGGCCAAGTGCAGATGAGTCTCTGGTTGGATTTCTGTTAATTCGTGGCTCAAGGGACTGGACGCTTTGAAATCCAGTTTCAAAGTCCTGCAACTTGATCCCCAGTGATAGAAGCTGGGGAATGTGCCCATCTTCGCATGGGCCGTACTCGGGGCATTTCGAGAGGCCTCCTCTGAGGCTCTGGTGCCCCTTGGCCTGAGGCATTCTCCAGTGGAATGTCTTTCTTTCTCTGCTGCCTGCAGTTCTACCTTCTGGCTCTACTTGGCCCGCACCTGGCTTTCCCTCCTTTGACCTCCCACATCTTCTCACGGTCACTTGTTCTTTCTCGGCTGTTAGTTACCTCTGCTTCGTGTACCTTTGTGTGCTCACAGTGCTGCGGTCAAAGTCATTCAAACATCGTATTTACCGGAACGGAGTGGAGAGACCCGTGGCCTCGGATGAATCTCCTTCCTTTGTGTGTTATGGAATCTGTTTTCCTTGATTACTCTGTTGCTTTTTGAGTTTTACAAAACATTGCCTTGTCTGATATAACCAGAATAGATGCCTGGATTTTTAAACATTTTAATAATAAGAACCTTAAACAATTTTCTTTTTTATAGTATGTATACTATAGTATCTGAATTATGTTGGAAAATAGGATGCCCATTACATCTTTTCAGCATATGTCCAGGGAGCTGTGTGAGGCCTTGGTGGCATATGAAGATTTTTAGACATGACTTTTGCTTCAATTTTGGTATATAGCAAGGTAGACAAGACGTATGCAAACGTATGCAATAGACTCATAATATGATGTGTCCTGGGAGAGTCGTCTCTCAGAGGTGGGAGAATTACTTCTGGATGCAGTGCCCAAGGGGAGCTTTGTGGAAGAGGAGGCATCTGACCTGGAGTTTTCAGTGGGGCCACAAGTTCACACAACTGCTTTCACATTGTCATCTCTGTGAACAGCACCCCGTGGAGTTGTGCAGACTCCAGCAATAAAAAGCATTGAAATCAGAAAAACATAGCGTCTGGCTGGAGTGTCAGGTTCATATAAGGTAATCATGATAAAAAGTCCAGAAAAGTAGCCTTGGGTCATATCGTAGAGAGCCTGAATTGCTGGGAGTTTAGGCTTGCTTGCTTGTTCATTCATTCATTCATTCATTCATTCAGGAGGTGAAGAATTAAATGGATTTGAGTCAGGGTATAAACAATGGAAAATGGTGATCGTTTGTGTACTTTCTATGAAGTTTTTTTCTTGAATTGGACAGATTACTTGTTTGCTGACAGTGCTCTTCACATTATTATTATTTTCCTCTTACACTGTTGTTATGATTGTCATAATCATCTCTTTCTAGATACCAGAAGGAGGGACTGGGGACTCAGGAAGAGAACGGACCAAGACCTTCACCTATGACTTTTCTTTTTATTCTGCTGATACACAAAGTCCAGATTATGTTTCACAAGAAATGGTATGGTATTTTCAAAATCTCTGTTTTGGTTTATTTTCATATTGAGAAAAACATGCCTACCCTAAAACTCTTTAAAGCATCTTGCTAATTTTTTTCTGAATATGATTTATGTAAAATTAGCCTTTGCTAACTTAGCTTTTTGCTTATTATATAGCACCATTTATCTTAAGCCTGAGATGAATTCCATCCCCAAAAGGTTGATTTTTTTTTTTTTTTCACTTCTGAGCATGATGATCATAATTTTTGTTTCAAAACTTGGCAGTGATTACTGTTTTAAAGGAGCTTTGCAAGTAAAGCATTTTTGGGGGGGACATTTAAAGGCATACTTCATTTTACTGTGCTCGATGTTAACGCTTTTTTGCAAATTGAAGGTCGAGGCAATCCTGTGTCGAGTCTGTTGGCGCCATTTTTCCAACAGCATTTGTTCACTTCGTGTTTCTGTGTCACATTTTGGTAATTCTCGCAATATTTCAAACTCTTTCATTAGTATTATATTCGATCAGTGATCTATCATGTTACTATTGCAAAAAGATTACGACTTGTTGAAGGCTCAGATGATGGTTAGCATTTTTTAGCAAGTAAATATTTTTTAATTAAGGTATGTATGTTATTTTTTAGACAAAATGCTACTACACACTTAATAGACTACAGTATCGTATAAACATAACTTTTATTTGCACAGGGAACCAAAACATTTGTGTGCCTCGCTTTATTGCTGTGGTCTGAACTGAATCCGCAGGAACTCCGATGTCTGCCTGTGTGTACTGCTAAGCCTGGCACATAACTCAGTTGGCCTTGAGTCCTGCTGCGATGCAGAGCTTTAGGAGGTACACTTCACACCCAAGTCACATTTCCCCTGCTTGGATGGATCATTGTTGGTTCTAGAAAGAAAGGCTCTGGAAAGCAAGATCGTTTTGTTCAGAATCTTTCTAGAACCTAGAATGAAGCTGGAATTTGTCCAGGAAACCTGTGCTATAGGCTTTTGTGATCTGAAATGCAGACATGAGATGGGCAGATAAGAACAGACCTGAAGATCCTCCCAGGGGGCCATCGCTTGATGGTGTGTCATGTGACCAGAAGGACTAGTGTATTTCCCTGGGTGGGGCAAGCAGGCTGTTGGAGCAGAGCGGGGTTCTGGTGAAACACGGTGTGGGGTAGGGGGGAGAGCATGCCCGCATGGCGGGGCTTCTCCCTGGCTTGTTAACAGCTTCTTAAGAGGCATGGCTTCAGGTCTCCAGGTGTTAAAACGAACGTGAATTCCTGTCCTGCCCGCCCAGGCTTGTGACCCACGCGATGGCATCTTGAGGTGGTATCCTGGTGTAGTTTCTTGTAACTTGGTGTGTCCACATACTAGAATCTCAGCGTTGCCTGGGAAAGTGTTAGAAATGCAGAATTTCAGGAACTACTCCAGACCTACTGAATCAAACTGCATTTTTTAGCAAGATCCCCAGGTGAGTTGCACGATCCTTAGCATTTGAGAAATGTAGTTGGTTTAGGAATGGTTTGTGGAGGAGGCTGGCTTTCTGAGGCGATGTAAGTGTTGGGAGTTCAGATTGGCTGTGCACGTGGAGAAGTTCCACGGAGAGGCCTGGAGTCATAGTATCTGCAAGTTGTTGATTCAGTATTGGGGAAACATAGAAAGGGCAACAGCAGTAGGAATGGGGGCCGTGAGGAGAGATGGGGTGCTGGGCATGAGAGAGGGGCCGGGAGAGGAAAGGTGAACTGATGCTGCTGGAGTGTGCAGGGGAATCAGAAACGCTGCTTGGTGCTCAGGGGTGCTGCCTCGTATAATCCTCACAAAGAACCAAATGAGGTCGACTTTAGCTCCATTTTTCTTTGTCAAGGAGACTCAGCTTAAATAACCTTCTCAAGTCTGTAGGTCTAATCGACTGAATAGTAGCAGAGTTGAGATCCTGGGGCTGATGTATACGGCAGTGGAGATACCCCCGGAAGGTCTTAAGGGTTTAAGGATTGGTGTGTTCTCAGTGACAGGTGGACAGGGCAGCCCTGTTGAATGAATAAATGGATGAGCGAGTGAGCGAAGATGACTTTGGTCCTGAGGTAAGTGGATCAGTCAGTGTTGGTAGCTAGGAGTCTGGTGAGGAACAGAATGTTGCAGCTAGTGGAATCCAGATTTTGGCTTTCAGGTAGGAATGCAAATGAAGTGGCTGGTACGAGGGAGTTTAAGGGAAAAGCTGGTTCATTACATGGTCCTCAGAACATCTTCATTAGAGGATGAATGAAGGGCCATGAAGGTTTCCCTCCTAAGTTACCCAGCGAGTGGCTGGATTTCCCCCCTGTTTAACCTGGATTTGAGGCCTTTTGGGGACAGGGGCTGTGCCGAGGGAAAGCCCAGGGACGGGAGTGGTGGCGTGGACAGCAGGGTCTGGCTCCCTGGAGATGCTCAGCAGGCGTTTGCTGACTGAGAGGCCTCGTCTACGGGTGGGTAGTTCATTTATGGAACAGGTCACGTATCCTGGGTTCAGTGAGAGTCAAGGTCAGGGAAGCAGTAACACGTTTAGCTCTTTTTTTTTTTTTTTTTTGCGGTACGCGGGCCTCTCACTGTTGTGGCCTCTCCCGTTGCGGAGCACAGGCTCCGGACGCGCAGGCTCAGCGGCCATGGCTCACGGGCCCAGCCGCTCCGCGGCACGTGGGATCTTCCCGGACCGGGGCACGAACCCGTGTCCCCTGCATCGGCAGGCGGACTCTCAACCACTGCGCCACCAGGGAAGCCCCCCAATTAATCTTTTAAAGTGAGGGGAAATCTGAAGCATGGAGAATTTCAGAGGGCTTCCTTCGTTACTTTAACCCCACAGATGACAGTTGTAGTGTGGGTTTAAGTCATTGGAAGCCCACATTTAGCTCTTTTGGGAGTTAAAAATAGCTGCCCAGAGTTTAAAAGTAGTTTGAGAATGAAAAGAGTTTTCAGCTGAGCAGGAGACTTTCCCGCTTCAGGTGTCTGCGCTTCAGGGGCTTTAGGTTCCTTGACTCTGGAACCCAAAGTCAAGGAGGAGTCTCAGGTTATTTATATCGTACATTCAGTTCAAAACTGAAAAAGCCTTTGAGATATGTTAGTAAACACTGCTTTTTAGCAGAACCACGTGTTAATAAAACCAACAGAGATCCAGGAACACTCCTAGTGTTTTGTTTTCCTCTTTTCCAGTTTTATTGAGAAATAATTGACATACACCTCTGTATAAGTCTAAGGTGTACAGCATGATGGTTCGCTTTACGTATCTTGTGAAACAATTATCGCAATAGGTTTAATTAATAACCATCCTCTCATATAGATACAGTAAAAAGAAAAGAAAAAAAATTCCTCCTTGTGATGAGAACTCTTAGGATCTACTCTGATAACACCTTTCCTGTGTATCAGGCAGCAGTGTGAACTGTAGTCATCATTGTTTTATATTATATTCCTAGTGCTTATTTCTCCTGTAACTATAAGTTTGTATCTCTTGACCGCCTTCTTCCAAGTCTCCCTCCCCCAGCCTCCCGCCTCTGGTAACCACAAATCCGATCTCTTTTTCTGTGAGTTTGGCATTTTGGGGAAAACACCTATTTTTTAGACACTCTGTTAAAGAGAAGATAATCTTCCTCATCTCTAATTTGAATAGCTGGTGTTGTATCGACTAAAGTTTTCACGCTGCCGGATCCTGCGCAGGAACTGAGCCGACAGTTCTCACCCCTGCTGTAAACGGGAAGATGCAGGCTTAGCGTGATGTCGGCCCTTGTCTTTTTCTTCTTTTTAAAAATCATTTAAATGAAGAGGCATCTTGAGACAATATATCATGCCCATTACTCTACTACAAGTCAAGTTTCCCATAATGTTAAACAAATTCCAAATAAGATGACCGTTACTATTTCTTCCTTCCAAATTAATGTTAGATTTAGAAAAAAAAAATCAGTGAGCCATTTAAGTCCATACTCGTGTCAATTAAAGACCATTAAGTAAGGTCTAATTTTCTTAATTGTTCTCCAGACTACAAAGGGAGGCTTTGATCTCGCACTGCCTGTCCCTTGATTCGACTCCGGAGAAACTTGAAACCTAAAATTTCCCAGTTGACAGCTGGATGGAGAGTCTTTTGTTTTCACAGCGCCCTCTTGTGGGCACTTCCCCTCAAGCGAGGCCCTGCGACGCCTCCCTTTGCTCTGTAAGTCAGCGCTGTAGCCTCTCAGACAAGCAGCAAAGTGGCTCTCGGGGACCCTGGCCAGGAGGGCAGGACGTCAGCCAGTCGAGCAGCCCCTTCCTTCCCTACTTCGGTTTGGTAGACGATGGTAAATCAGTCCTTGGTGGGAGCTGCAGTGGGGTAGCCGGTTTTCCCTGCTGGGAACCCCGTAGGTGTGGGCACCGTCCTGCTGCTTCTCTGGGTCCCCAGCCGACTAGAAGCTGGGACCAAGCCAGGCCTGGGTCTCAGCGCCTCCGGACATGCATTTTCTAGGCCTGTCGTGCGGTCAGGTCCACCAGTGCCAGGCCCCCCGCCCCCTCCGGGGCCCCCTGAGTCTGGAGGAGCTCCAGCTGAGTTAGCTTTCTAGAGACTAAATGAGGAGTAAAGTAGCAGGTGTGGATTTTAACCCTGGGGAAGAATTCCATTTTGAAAACTTTGGGGTTTGGTTTAAATATGATATTTTCCATGACTGTTTTCGCCCCAGACAAAAGTATGAGAGAAGAGCCTTCCTTTATTCTTCCAGAAGCTTTTGGAAGGCTGTTCTTTCTCTCCAGTGGCACTCTGTGAAGTGGTTAAAAGTGACATCTGCCTTTTGGGTTTTGTCTAATCAGAAAGAATTAAAGAAATATTTAAGAGTTTTCCTCCTATTCCGTATATAGTGGTGAAAATGAACCTCAGATGGTTAGTCTGGAGCCCAGAGTCCCCCTGGGATTCCTGGTTCTGCTTCTTCACAGAGAGGTGTGTGTGTGTGTGTGTGTGTGTGTGTGTGTGTGTGTGTGTGTGTGTGTG